GCCTTATCCAAAGCTTGAGTAGGTATAAGTCGGCGGCCTCGAGGGGGCGGCCTCGAGGGCGCCATCGGTGGACTTCTGAGAAATTTGTCATGTAGTCTCGGGAAAAACTCGCCGTCGGAGGGCGACGTCGGCGACCAAGTTTAAATCTTGACATTTTGGTCCTTTTCGCTCCAAATTCGCTCCTTCTTGCATCTTTTTGCTCCAATGACCCTAATTCATCATTCTTGCAATAAAATATCAAAAATACTTTTCTTTAAAGTGCAATATCATTAAAAGCAGTATAAAATAAGTATGAAAAACTCAACATATTTTCCTCTGGTCACAACACACATTGAGTAATAACAACCAACTATTGATGATAGTTTGCGAACAAGTCAAGCAAAAGACTAAGTGATTTGATAGTCACCAACATCATCTACAGACATTCCCAAAGCTTCTCAAATGCTGGAGATGCATCAACAATATTATTTTGACATGAAGGTTGAAAATCATGATCAACATCACAACCATTTACCGAGTCCCATTCATCCACAACTTTAGCCAACACTGACTTTCCTTTTGCATTAATCTTAATTTTCTTCAAGCTTAGGCTACCATGATCATACCACCCGGTGGAAAGTGCCACCACCTTCTCATCATCACCGTGATACTTTCTATTGGAGTGCGATGGGAAGTATCATGGTGATGATGAGAAGGTGGTGGCACTTTCTACCGGGTGGTATGATCATGGAAGCCGAAGCTTGAAGACAATTAAGATTAACGCAGAAGGAAAGTCACTGTTGGCTAAAATTGTGGATGAATGAGACTCGGTAAATAGTTGTGATGTAGATCATGAATTTCAATTTCCATGCCATAATAATATTGTGGATGTATCTCTGGCTGTTTGGGATGCTTTGAGAATGTCTGGAGATGATGTTGAGTCACATTCATCTTCAAAAGTAAAAATAACAATAAAATATGAAGAGTTTACACTATTTATTAATTTCTTGGGCTTGAATTTTTCATTGCACGTTTACCTCACTTTCTTCCATGATGGCTAGCCAAAATCCTTAACTGTTATTTAAGTAAAGCATTAATTTGACTCCATTAAAAACATAATAAGAGATCGTATATGAACATGTATGCATCTATTACTAAAAACATGCAAAAAAAGATATAGAGATAACTGCAAATATATTTACTAGCACGCAATTTTAATTACAGGACTTACAACACACAAGGAGCAATAACTAGCAAACTATTCATGATAGTATGCAGACACATACATATAAGATGCAATTTAAACAAATGACCAGGTAATTTGATAGTCACCAACATCATCTCCAGACATTCCCAAAGCATCCCAAACAGCCGGAGATGCATCAACAATATTATTATGGCACGGAGGTTGAAAGTCATGATCAGCGTCACAACCATTTACAGAGTCGCATTCATCTACAACTTTAGCCAACACTGACTTCCCATTCGCATTAATCTTAATTGTCTTCAAGCATCGGCTTCCATGATCATACCACCCAGTGGAAAGTGCCACCACTTTCTCATCATCACCGTGATACTTTCCATCGCACTCCGATGGGCCGCCGCCATCTCCGCCTTTGGCGAAGCTGTTGATCGTCAAAGTGGCATGTGTTTCATAAGAGATTTGTGGTGAACAATGGTACTGTGGGTACTTTTTTCCTGCCTTACAACATTCTGAGTCATGTTCCGTGTTGCAGTGGCTAGCTTTGCCATGTAGAAAACCGCTTGGGCTACATTGGCCTAGAAGTGGAGTGTAGCGCATGGCGAAACTGAGGTTAAAGCATGCTACAACTAGTATTATAACTACTGCAGATGTAGCCATCCAAGAATTATTCATTTTGTGCTAAGAGTTTGAGAAGAGAGAGGTTATCTATGTGTGTTCTTCTTCTAAAGGTTAAGATATATTGGTATTTATAAGTGTTGGAAATTGAGCGATTGGAAGGTGTGGAAGGGTGCTTTCAGTTTTATGGGTGATGCGTATGGTGGTTGTGAATTTCTGCAACTTCTATGTATAGAATATGTTTGGTTTATTATAATGAAGTGATGTTTGTTAGCTTTCAATAATGTTGCAATGATTTATTTAGTTTTTTTTTTATGTGTTTCTGTGGCTATAATTATTTTCGTGATAATATATTTAAATGATTCATACGTTTATATTTGTGCTTTACTTGTCATTTCAAGTAAATTAGCTTTTATCGGACTTAGGTTTGGTTGCGTGTAGTTGCGTGTAGTGTAATCTGCTTAACTGACGCAAATGCACGGCGCAAGCAGAAACTCGGTCGTCGGTCGTTTGAAATGAAAGCTTATTGCCAAAATATTATCTTTAGTTAAAGGACCTTGTTACCTTATTACCAAAATCTAATATTTAGTTATGGCAATTAGAGCTGCAGACGAAGACAAAATATTGTCTCCAGAGTCCCCTGCGTCCAGATAAAACACAGCACGGAGAAGGCGGAAGAAAAAAAAAAAAAAGACATTCCAGTGCATCGCGTTCGTCGTCCGGAGACAACTTTTGTCCGAACTGTGGACGTCTGCGAACTGAGAAGCTACGTGGCTCCGAATGCGCTTCGATTCAGAGAATGAATATGATTGTAATTTTTGGAAATTATCTTTGTAACTTATTTAATTATGGGGTTTGTGCTATTTGGTATAAAAAAAATGTTCTCATTTTATATGGTAGATTTGGTTCTGTAATCAAACTATCGGTAATTACTTGTTGTAATTTTGAATTATGTTACAAATCCCTTCAAATAAAAAATCAAAATATATCAATTATTTTCATAATATATATAATTACTGAACCGGATGAAATATAAGGAAGATCAAGCCGATTATCCTACAAATATCTTATATATATGAGATTTGTTATAAGCCTGATTTATCAGGGCTTTTCAAGGTACGCTCTTGTTACTTTGCTTTTGATTTTAGTGATTTTATTTTTTAGTATTTTCTATATTTTTATTTACTCAAAACTTACCAAAATTATAATATCTCCGTATTGTATAAACTTTCACAGTGTAATATTTAAAATATTATTGCTCTAGCTATTTTACAAATATTGGAATAATTATGCTGAATTTTCTGTGTATATTTCTTTTTTTTAAGGCATGTTTCTTGATTTAAGTTATATAAATTTATTTTAAATTTTGGTAGAGAGACCATATTATGACATATTGGCACAGAGAAGATCATAAGCAAGCTTATTTCAATTTTTTTTGTTATGATTTATGTATATGGATTGAGCATGTTGTTAAATACTTTGGACTCCACTATTTTGCTTTACATGTCAGCTTTATATGTACTATGATTGTTAACATGAGATATAAACTAAGTATGATATTATTGGTTAAGCATGCTATGAGTATTATGAAGTATGTGTACACAAGAAATGCTAGCTACTATAATTCAGATTGGCAAAGATATGATAATCTGTAAAGGAGGGCAAGCCAAAGGACTTTGTTTTAAATATGTTAGTGGTGTAAAATGGATACATGCTAAGAGTTACAAGTTGTGAAAATATTATAATATGATGGTCGATAGAATGAGATTGACGACTCTCGTTTATTATGTCACATAACAATTCTTACTAATAAAATATGTCATGATATCGTTTCTTATTATGATTGGTCTAGATAAAATATCACATATGATTAACTGAATCACGTGACTTTCATAGTTTTTTATGATGATAAATGTATTTAATGATAATCTATGTATATTGTTACTATTGTGATTTACATTTTTGTAGTATATATATTCATGTTTAGTAACATAAAAGCTTATATGTTTAACATATATGAAATATTTATGATATAATCATGCATATCATTTTATTTTTGTGCATTGATTTTAATTTCATGTTTCTTGTACTTTACTGAATTGTTTGCTCTCTCCTATTTCATCTACATATTTTCAATGAAGTGTAATGCTTCGATGAAGTGAGGTAATAATACTTGCTGATAAATGCACATTTTATAATATTTGACATGCATTTCATGATTGCAATAAACATATTTATTTTATTGAGATTATGAAAAAATAATGGTCATTGTATTACTGGATGTAAATAATCTAGATATATATAGATGAAATTATGATGGAAATCTTCATCAAATTTTTTGTGTTGTTATTGATAAATTAGAAAATAAACAAAATTTCTTCTAAATAGTTCTTGAGCTAAATATTTATTACATAATCAACTTTGTATAATCTATTATTATATATAGATTGTATTAGGTTAGGCCATGGCAATTGTCACAATGAACTTTCTCTTCTTATGGATTGCAGGTCAGTAAGCTATCATCACAATTGTCATGGTAAAAACCTTTACACTTCTTCTATAATGGTGATGATATAAAATCTTGGTTGACATATCTTTATTATTTCATGACTTGTCTATATGATTCGAGATTGCTACTATATATCCTTTTTAGATATGGGTTGATGCAAGTTAAACGACAAAGTTGAGGAAACATAATTAAATTCCTTCTGTTTGATGTGGGCATTGGTAAACCCATGCAATTTAGTTGATATTTTTTAACTTGTGCTAGTCAAGAGTGCATCAAAATGAATCCTCATATAGGCTCTAGAGAGTAAAAAATTGGTGACTACGTTCTCCATGCCTCAAAAATCATATATTCTCCATTGGAAATAATTGAGTAAATGGCTTAAAAACTCGTTAAGCTTCTAACTCATATTTAGTAGAATATATGCATTCCTTAGTATCTCTTATGAGCTTTAAAATATCTAATAATTTTTTTCTTAAAATTAAGGAAGCAAGGAATGATTCTCCAAAGAAAGAGAACCAACCTTCTATTATTTTCTTGATTGTGGAGCATAGCAGTCAATACTTTTGTGACACTAATAAGAAAGAACAAAATAGTTGCCATAAAGCAAGTGACATGATCAGCTTAGTTCAACTTTATTTTATAAGAATTCATTATGTGAAACTTAGACTCAAGTACCAAAAGAGCAACCACAACAAAAACTAAAACAATTCTTGAGAGATAAATATTAACATTGAAAAGAGGATTCTTTATAATACTCCACTTGAGAATTAAATTTTGACATTGAAAAGAGCAAAAATATTAGCTTTTAGGCACTCAAAAACATTCAAGCAATAGCTATTATACTACAGAGATATCAATGCTTAAGATAGGCAACATATTCACACCTATGAAGTCCTCAAATATGCAAAAAGATCATTCTTGTAAGAATGAATCTATATATTATACAACTACTTCGAAGTCACAGTATCAATAGGTCACTCGTTGTGCAAAGACATTTGTTTTTTTTTTCAAGACATGATCTGGTTTTACCTTATGCATTGCTTTTGTTCATTACGCCTAAAGTAATGTTCAAAAGCATTGATCTTCAGGCTTTAGTGGTTAATATGAGAAAAGAGTTTTTATCACTCTCCTTGAAAGATAAATTTTAACATTGAAAGGAGCAAAAGCATTAGCGTTTTGGTGCTAAAAAACATTCAATCAATAGCTTTTAAACTACAGAGATATCAATTCTTAAGATAGACAACATATTCACACTTATGAAGCACTCAAATATGCAAAAAGATCATTCCTGTAAGAATGATCCTATATATTATGTGACCAAAGAAAAATATGTTGAGATTTTCATACATATTTTACACTGATTTTGATGATATTACACTTTAAAGAAAAATATTTTTTATGTTTTGTTGCAGGTATGTTGAATGATGGTCATTGGAGCAAAAAGATGCAAAAATGAGCGAATTTAGAGCGAAAAGGACCAAATGAGAGTTCATAATTAAAGATTCTACACAAAATATGAAGATTTGAACGAGGCCCCCGACGGCGAGATCGGCGGTTATCTCAAGGACAAAATTCCTCATAAGTCCGCCGACGGCGCCCTCGAGGCCGTCGCCGACGGCCTC